ATAATTTCTAATTGGTCCATTTTAACTTTTAAGGAGTCTGTTGCTTGGGTAAGGTTTTGTACCTCTTATACTAAGATGTTAATTCTCTTTTCTTTTCTAATTCTTTGCTCTATCAATCTCATTTCATTAATAATAACTTTTAACTCAAATCTCATTTTGTTTAGATTAGGAATTGTAGTCTAACTTTTGTTCAAGCTATGTTTTAGGGGTTTTTTTTTCCTTGAGGTTTTGCTTGTAGGTGTTTTATTCTCTCAGGATTTTGTCTTGGGCATCTCTGACATCATGATAGCTCTTTATCTTTTTTTTGTTTATTTACTCCTCCAGTCTTATTTCCAGGATTAGGACATTGTTTCAAGACCAGGTTCTGTGCACAGTTCTTATATCCAAGATATATAAATAACTGGCTCAAACATATGTGGAACCATATGGTCTTGGATGATCCTGGGTCCTGTTGCTATATTCCTCAGGTACTGAGGTCCTTTAAAAATCACCCTTTTTTGGGGCATCTAGGTGGTGCAGTGGATAGAGCACTGGCCCTTAAGTCAGGAGTACCTGAGTTCAAATCTAGCCTCAGACCAAACACCTGACACTTACTAGCTGTGTGACCCTGGGCAAGTCACTTAACCCCAATTGCCTCACCAAAAAAAAAAAAAAAAAATTACCCTTTTTTGAAGGGTTCAACTTAAGAAGCTGCAGACTTTCAGCAAGCTCTATGTTAGATCAAGGTCATGGCCTGATCACTGTCCTCCTAGCCAGGGGTGGGGGACCTGTGGTCTAGAAGCCAGAAAGCCTTGTGCACAAGCAACACAGCTGAGGGTGGTGCTCTAGTGCTTTTATTTTAGGCCTAATACCCCCCCTCCCCCATCAGCTAGCTAAAAGGCACAGCAGGTTCAGAGCTATTGCACTGCTGGCCTAACACTGTTCTTGGCCCAGAGGGAGGTCCCACACTGCTGACTGGTCAAGGCTGAGTCTATAATCCTAGACTACACCTTTCCACAGCTCCTGCCCTGGTCACTTGCCTATGGGTCAAATTTGTAATGTTGGGCTAGAAAGATTCACCACTCTACTTTTTCCTTAGATTTCCTAATCACTACCCGGTCTGACAGTTTTTGCTGGAGTAGTAGTGGGGGAAGTAGGGCTATACTGCTTTCTAGTACATTGGCAGCTTGGTTGACTATTTAAATATATTTTAGGGGCAGCTAGGTGGTGAAGTGGATACAGCACTGGCCCTGAAGTCAGGAGGACCTGAGTTCAAATCCGACCTCAGACCAAACACTTGACACTTACTAGTTGTGTGACCGTGGGCAAGTCACATAACCCCAATTGCCTAAAAAAAAATAATAATAAAAATATATATATTTTAATTCAACCTCAAAATATTAATTTTCATCTACATTTTTGAAAATTCCATAGATATCCACAGAATAAAGAACGTCATCTGAGTATATATCTAGTGCCAGAACGGACAGGAGACCAGGAATGAGAAATGACTTGCCAAAAGGTCACAGAGTAGTATTGAAGGTAAAATTTGAATGTAGGTTTTCTGACTATGGATCTAATGTTCTTTACACAGTACCATGTTCCATCAAGGAAGTTCAGGAGTAAGAATGAAGTCAGACTAAGAAAAATCATTTCCCAAAAGAAAACTTGTTAAAACAGTGGTTTTATTAGTTTTATTTATATAATATAAAAAATACAACTTATAAATTAAAGATCATGTTATTGAATAATTCCACTTTTAAAATCAAAGTACAATGTAGAAAAGAATTAAATGGGCTTGGGAAATGGCCAACTCTGATAAATATATACTGACATACTGAAGCAGAATTATTCCAGAACTACAAAAATTCCCAAATACAGATTGAATACCACAATAGCTTTGCACCATATACCACAAAAAGTTAAGGAATTTAAATGATTTAAAACCTCACTGAAAATCTAAGGGTTTGGGTTGTTTATAGTTAGGGCATCCTAGTATAATAAAAATAACAGTACTATTTCAATTATTTACCTTTTCCAAGTTATACTAATCGAACTACCAAATGATTACTTTATAGAGCTAGAAAAAAATAACAAAAGGGTCAACAATACCAAGGGAAGTAATAAAAAAAGCAAGAGATCTCAAATTATATTATAAAACAGTAGTCATTAAAACTATCTGATACGGGTTTAAAAACAGAGAGGTAAATCAGTGGAACAAATTAGATATGTAACATACAGAAGCAAAAAAACACAGCTCAATTTTCAATAACCCCCCCAAACCCCAATTACTGGGGCAAGGACCCACTATTTAACAAAAATTGCTAGGAAAACCATAAAGTATTTAGGCAGCAATTAGATTTGGATCAACACTTCACACAACATACCACAATAAGCTCCAAACAGATACAAGACGTAGATATAAAACATCAAAAACAAATTAGAAGAGCAAGGAAGGATACCTTTAGCAACTATGGATAAAAAATTCTTGACCAAGCAGAGGAAAGAAAGGATCACAGGAGATAAGATGGAAAATTTGTATTACATAAAATTTTAAAGTTTTTGCACAAACAAACCCAATGCAGTTAAAATTAGAAGGGAAACAGTGAACTGGGGAAAAAAATCTTTGTACTAAGTTTCTCTGATAAAGGTCTTCTATCCAAGATATGTAAATAATTAAAATATATAAAAACAAGAGTCATTTCCTTAAAGAAAAATGGCCAGAGGATATGACCAGGTAATCCTCAAAGTAAGAAATCCAAGCTATCAACACCCCTACTAAAAATATTCCCAATCAGTAATAGTGAAGTGCAAATCAAAACACATTTGAAATTCCTCATCACATTTATTATTAAAGACTCACAAAGACAATAAAAAACGAAAAGGGCAATTGTCAGAAGGGCTTTAGGAAAACAAGCACGCCAACGTATTACTGGTGTTGCTGTGATTATGTCTTTCTCAAAAACAATTTGGAACTACGCCCCTTGTAAAGTCACTCAACTGTGGTTCCTTTGGCCCAGTGATACTACTAGTAAGTTTCTAGGCCAAATATACCAAGATTGAGTAATAGGACTCATATATACAAAAATATTTATAGCAGCTATTTTTGTAGTGTCCAAGAACTGGAAATTAAGAGGATGCCCATCAACTAGGGAATGGCTAAACAAATTACAGTATACAAATGTTGAATATTTCACCATAAGAAATGATCAAAGTAATAGATCTGGAGAAACCTGAGATCTGTATAAAATAGTGCAGAGTGAAGTGAGCAGAACCAATAAGTACCATGTACACAAGAAGTGGGGGAAACTACTTCAAAGACTTAAGAACACAATGACCAATCCCTTTTCCAGAGGACAATATGGAAGTATGTTGCTCAGGACTGAATGGTCAGCCATTTTCAGAGAACCACTGTCAAAATTTTGTCTTGACTATACATAAGAGTTTTTTGTTTGCCTGTTTGTTTTTGTATCAATGAAAGTAAAGAAAGTGGGAGGGAGAGAGAAAATGGCTATTGGGGCTGTCAAAAGAAAAAGGTCACTGAAATATTTTTAAATACAAAAAAGACAAAAAAGGAAGCCAGAGGTAAACAAACAAGACATAAAACTATGTTGAATTTATCACATACATACTAGGTATTGCATATGGAAATGTTATTTGGTGTTCAAATTCAAAGTTTATATTTAAAATTTAATTAATATAATTAAAACTAAATTCAAAATAAAAAATCTAAAATTTTTTTAGTCTATGGGTTCTCATATGGGTTGATCTGAAAAAATATTATAAAAGGTATGAGTTTTATCAAATATGCCCAAAGTATAATTTCATGATGAATTAAAGAAAATGTCAAACTCTTCCATACTCACGATCAAACCACATAAAGCAAGTGACTACAGCATGGGGATATACTGCATGTTAAAAGTTCTTTAAAGGAATAAAAGTTGTAATGTTTGTTGTATATGTTAATAAACTTGTTTTAATTTGTCCCAGTTAATTCACACACCACTGTACTATTGTGGTATTGCCCAATCTTCCTCCTGTTTTCACAATTTCTGTCAAGGGTACCACCCAGGCACCCTGCCTCCAACACTGGAAAAGTCAATGATTTGACCCTCCCCAATCATCTCATTTGTCCCTACCCAACCTTCTGTCTTCCCCTTACAGCCGTACCACCCTCATGGAGACAATCATCAACTACCTCATCTATTGTATCAGTCTCCTAACAGGCCTTGCCATCTCCACTCTGCCAAAGGATTCATGACAAACTAATTTTATGCATAATTTAGTTGTTGTTCTGCAGAAAATTTTTAAATGGCTCCCTTTTGCTGAATTTCAAATTCCTTAGCCTGACATTCAAGGCCCTCCACAATTGGATAGATACTACCTTACTTTTCCTGCCTTATTTCCCATTCCTCACCTCAATGTAATCTACTACACTCAACCGGAATCGTCCGGGCTGACCCTTATTATTTTGAGACCCTTCAAGAATTCTCTTCACCCATCTCTTGGTGCCTTTGACAATTCCAGCTCAAAGCCACTTTTCACAAGTGCCTCCCATCCCGACAAGCTTCCCCTAACATTTTTCTTGCACCTCTCTAACACGCATCTATCCTATCATAGCCCCCACCAAAGCAGGAACTGGCTCTTTTTTTTTTTATCTCCTCCAGCGTCTACCCCAGTACTTTCCACACAGACCGCGTTTAACAAACGTCGGTTACCCAACATTTTTTTCTAAGCGCCCACTAATCGATAATCGGGTCAAATCCCAAGACCGAAAACAACCTAGGGAAATGAAAACGAAAACATTCGTTGCTTAGAATTATCGTCACTGCCAGGGGCCAGCCCCGCTTCTGCAGTCCCACGTGGGCCGCCTCCGCGCCGCTGTCCGAGCTCCTCCGCAGCCGGCCGCGGCTCCTCCCCAGCCCAACTCCCCCGGCGGCGGTCTGCGCCTCACTTCTTCCTCCGGAGCGGCCCGAGGAAGCTGCGGGGGGCGGGGGTGGCGACCCCCGCCGGCTCCTTACCTCCGGCGATCGTCCGCAGCCCCGGCTCCCGTGACCCGAGCAGAGGCCGTAGGTGGCGGCCCCCGAGCAGCAACAGCGCGCGGACCTCCCGCGCCATGTCTTACTCCCGGCAAAAGGCTTCGCCACAGCGGACCCAGGTAAGGGTGAGGGGCGGAACCTAGCAGGGTCTGTGAGAGAGCTGAAGACTGAGAGCAAGGCAGCAGCCGGGGCCTTCGCGAGGCACGCGGCGGGGACCGTTGACGTCACCAGCTGCGCGACTGCACCGTCCGCGCCGTTTGCCTGCTCCGTGGCCGCCCTCCATCCTGCTCTGGGTCCTCTGCCTCTCAAGTGACCCTCGGAGGCTTTCCCACCGACCCGCCGGCAGCCTGTGCATCTCGTCCTGGAGCATGGGAGGGAGGGGAGGGAAGAAAAAGCATCTCTGAGCGGAGATTGGGATGCGGGCATATCTACTCCCACGCCGGCCAGGCTTAGGCGAAGACATACCTGCTTCAGTGTGATCCCGGAAGGGGACCTCGGTGACCTTCTCTCTGGTCGTCAAGGGCAACGCTCCGCTTGCCTCCCGTGGCACCTCGGTGGGGTTGGAAGAAGGTGATTGTAAAGTGTGACCTGTGACCTGTGATGCGCTAAAATACAGGAGGGAGAAAGAGACCTGTCTGCTTGATCTTGTCGAAGTCGCGAGTGTAAGAAACTTGTGCAAATCGCGTCTCATCTTCCTGTCTCCCCATCTGTAAAAAGAAGGGTTTGGATCAGCTGCTTTTGCTGCTGCTGCTGCTGCTACTGATGATGATGACGATGATGATGACGATGACGATGACGATGACGACACTTAGGTAGCGAATTAAAATTTACAGAGTTCTGGAGCTTGGGTACCTCAAAGTTCTAAGGACCCTCCCATCCCCCCTGTTCCGACTGGCACTCACTAAATCCAAATTAGAAAGGCGGTCTTCTAGTCCAGCGCCTACCTGATCAAGAACTCTTCTACAATAACCCCAGAAAGTGGTTATCTGGCCTTTGTTTCAAGACCTGTAGTGAGATGGAAACCCACTCCCTCCTGAGGGCAGTTCTCTCTGCTTTTGGATAGCTCTCATTGTTAGGAAGTTTCTCCTCACCTGGGCTTCAAACACGCCTCTCTGCAACTTTCACCCTTTGCTCCAAGTTCTGCCCTCTGGGGTCAGACAGAACTAATCCACTTTCTACACGAAAGCCTTTTGGATACTTGAAACGATTAGCATGTTTCTCCTAAGCCTGACAAATGTTACCCAGTGGTTTTAATCATATTTCACCTAGTTTATTCCTCATGTGGCATTATCTTGAGGGCCGTCACCATTCTAGTCACCCTCCTCCCCAAGTTTTCTAGCTTATGAATGTCTTTCCTAAAATGGGATGCCTAGAGCTGAACACAATACTCCATATGTAATCCCAGCAGGGCAATCGAACAACAATCATTATCTACTGAGTGCTTACATTGTATAGGGTGTTAAATTATAGAGAGACAGAAAATGAAATAGCCCTAGCCTTCAAGGGACTTACATTCTAAATGAGGGAGATAACATGTACATATATAAATATATTCAAAATAAACAGAAGTTAATTTGGAAGAGAAGGAACTAGTTCTTGAGAGATCAGAAAAGGTTTCATGAGTTTGAGCTAAGCTTTGAAAGAAATTAGGACTTTTAAGAGGCAGATGTGAAGATGAAGTATAGTGCTTCACAGGTATGGGGACCAATCAGTACAAAGGCACTGAGGTTGGAAATACAGTGGGTGGTATAGGACAAAAACAGTTTTTGGCTTTTCTTTGTATTTCTGGGGCATAAGCACTGTGCCTGATAGTAACTACTTAGTAAATTGCTGGTGACCCAGTGATTGATTTTCATAGTTATGACTAGGAGGTGAATGTTTCACCAAATGGATAGAGGCAATCACAAAAGATAAAATAAATAATTTTAATTTTATGACACTGAAAAGCTTTGGCATAAACAAAATTAATGCAACAGGGATAAAAAGGGAAGTGGTCAATTGGTGGGGGGGGGGACTTCACATCAAGTATCTCTAATATTTAAAATACAGAACTGACATATATAAAACCAAAAGCCATGTGGGGTTCCCCAGTGGGGATCCCCAGTGGATAAATGGACAAGGGATAAAAATAGTTATAAAAAGTATTACAAATTATTTACAACTATATGAAATAATATTCCAAATCGCTAATAATAAGAAATGCAAAACAGAACAGTTCTGAGATTTCATATTCATCAAATCAGAAAGGATGACAAAACCTGGGAATAATCAATATTGGATTTTAGAAAGACAAACGTTTATGCATGGTTGGTGGAACTGTGAATTGGTCCAATCATTCTGGAAAGCAATTTGAAAATATGCAAATAAGATTACTAAAATATCCATACCCTTTGACCCAGAGATTCCACTGTTTGGCATATACCCCCATCCCCAAGGAGGCCACTGACAGAAAAATCCCACATTCAAAAAAATATTTACAGTAGCACTTTTGTAATATCAAAGAATAGTAAAGATAATAGATGCCCATTCATGAGGGAATAGTTAAACAAAATGTCATACATTAATCTAGTGCATTGGTTCTCATTTAGTGTTTGAGAACTCCAAGGGGTTTGAGATGATAGTCTAAGGTGTTTGTGGTAAAAATTCATTAATGATTCCTTAAGCAGTAAATAAATGCCAAATTATATTACAAATATCTGTTTTCCTCTGTGACACGCATTTGCATGTTTGAAACATGTTTGTGTCTGCAATAATTCCAAGCCATTATGATCATGTGCACAATGATTTTGTTATTCCTGCAAATATTACATGAAACTCTGCTTCTGATATGGAAGATCACTGCATCATGTGAGACAAGTAAAAGAGAAAATATTGAAAGATATCTGAGTAATATAAATGAGGAAGAGGGGAGAAGAGGGAGCTTTCTGTGAATGACCTCAATATTTTCAGTGTAGTATGAAACAATGTCCTCAGCTGAGAGGGTGGGGGAAAGGGGTGCCGTGGGAGGTTTGAGGAGGGATGATCCAATTTCTATCCCATTATAATTTTCAACACACTACATTCAAGGGAACTTAGAATATAATTCAAATTAATATAACCAAAAGACGAACCAATAGAAAAGCCTAGGAAGCAGAATTTAAACATCCCTATGTGGGGACAAAATCCTTCCCATAGATTCAATGGAATCTATATATTTACAGACATTTAAGTCCTCATAAATAATCTTACATTAAATTGACTCCTTTAAGTTGGCCAGGCTTGAGATGTTAAGTCTGATAACACATTAATATAGAGTTTCACAAATGTAGTACTGTCAAATTCAAAAGAACTTTTTACTGCACATTTAATCAGATTGGCTTGGGAGTCCCAATCATAGAAACTGCTTTTTTTGGACCACCAACCTCCTCACCCCCTCTCCATATATATTCATATGCACATAGAGTCAAAGGTTGCTAGAGAATTTTTAACAGCTCTCTTGACACCTTTTGTAAAAATAAAATAAAATAAAGACAATGCATTCTGAACTTTACATTCTGAACGAGGCATATACAAAAAGGCAAAAAAAGAAACTTCACACAAGTGTCAATACTGACATGTACACAAATACAGATTTAATGCCTGAAAAATTCATTTGCTAATTTCTTGGATCTATGCTAGGTCTTAAAACTTCCTCAGGCCACTGCCTTATCTTACTAAAAAATGAAGTAAAGGTATTTTTTCTAAATTCATAGCCTGGCTTAACCGCCCAGAGACTGCTCTGCATTTTGCATTTTTCTAGATTGCTGATGTAGCTGATGCTGTAATTCAGCTATTCTCAAGATACTTTTTGTTTTGTCCCTCAAGAAGTCTATAACCACTTGGAACAAATGAACAGCCTCCAGCAACAGCTATATTGGCAGTAGGGCATAGCTTACTCTGTTATTAATCCCCCCCCCAATGTATTTTATTTATTTCATTAAATATTTCTCAATTACAGGTAAAAAGAATTTTTAACATTTTTTTTAAATTTTGAGTCCCAAATTCTCTCACTCCCTTCCTCCCTTCCCCCTTCCTTGAGAAGGCAAGAACTTTGATATGTATTACACATGTGAAGTCATGCAAAACATATTTCCATATTAACCCTGTTGCAAAAGAAAGCGTAGACCAAAAAAAAAAAAAAAGAATAATAAGGAAAGTCAAAAAAGTATGCTTCAATCTTCATTCAGATTGCATCAGTTCTTTCTCTGGAGGTAAATGGCACTTTTTTCATTTTAAGTCCTTTGGAATTGTCTTTGATCATTCTGTTGATCAGAATAGCAAAGTCATTCATAGTTGATGATCATATACTATTGCTGTTACCGTGTACAATGTCCACCTGGTTCTGCTCATTTCACTTTGTATCAGTTCACATAAGTCTTCCCAGGTTTTTCTGAAACCATCCAGCTCATCATTTCTTATAGCAAAATAATATTCCATCACAATTATATACCGCAACTTGTTCAGCCATTCCTCAATTGATGGCCATCCCCACAATTTCCAATTCTTTGCCACCACAAAAAGAACTGCTTACATGCCTGATGTGGAAATATGTTTAACATGATTGTATGTGTATAACCTATATCAGATTGCTTACTGCCTTGGGGAGCGGGGAAGGGCAGAAGTAAAGGAGAAAAATTTGGAACTCAAATTTTTACAAAAATGAATGTTGAAAACTGTCTTTACATGTAATTGGGAAAAAAATACTATTAAAGGGGAAGAAAAGAGCTGCTATAAATATTTTTGTACCTGTAGAACCTTTTCCTTTTTCTTTGATCTCTTTGGGATACAGACCTAGTAGTGGTATTGCTGGGTCAAAGGATACGCACAGTTTTATAGCCCTTTGGGCATAGTAAGATTGCTCTCCAGAATGGTTGGATCAGTTTACAACTCTACCAAAAGTGTAGTAGTGTCCCAATTTTTCCCACATCCTCTCAAACATTTATCATTTTCTTTTTCTTTCTTATTAGCCAATCTCATGAGTATGAGGTGGTACCATAGAGTTGTTTTGATTTGCATTTCTCTAATCAATAGTGGTTTAGAGTATTTTTTCATATCACTATAGATAGCTTTGATTTCTTTTTCTGAAAACTACCTGTTCATGTCCTTTGACCATTTATCAGTTGGAGATCTGCTATTAATTTCCAGCCATAAAATTTCATCTACTTGTTCTTCCTATGTATTTA